CAAGAAACAGTAGTAGGCACCAAAGCACAGCGGGATGAACCCACTTCGTAACTGGATAATCGAATACCGTTTTAGAAAAGAGACTTATTATATTTCGATTGACCCATTTGTTAAAAATTTGTGGTCTCGGTGGGAATCGGATCCGCACAGCAGAGGAGGCTTTTGCGCAGCCACCGCTCTACCACTGATATACGAGGCTCACCGTGAACCCTGAATTTAATCACACTTGGGAATATTTTTCGGCCCAGCTTTACTGCACGTATGGAATCCACCAATACAGACACAGTAAGTTGACTGCCAGGCAGGTTTCCCTAATTAATCATCTAGGATCAACCGGATGGACTAATAGGCTAACCTTGTTAGGATTTTGGTCCTAACGGCGACGGTATGTGATCGTCTTCGAATCTCAGACTTTCGCTCATGGCCACTGAAAACATGATTGACGAATGCTTTCACCTTAGTTTGTCTGGTTGCGGTTCATGAATTTCACCTCTAGCGCAACCATAAAACGTCCCCGCCTGTGTCTGATGATCGTTACTTCGGTTCCGAAAACCAACGAAATATAACTTAACTGCCATTCCATTATTCCATTAAATGTAACTATGGTATCTATAGTATTAGGTATAGTACATTATATACTATAATATTATATATTTATGATACATATATATATATCATAATATAAGTCTATACTTATATAATCGTATCTAGATATTGTTATGCATTTGCCTAAAGACAGTCCCAATTCCAATAGACGGCTACAGGCTTATCTACTGCAGGTACTTTGAGGATGATGATGAATCAGCGACGGGTGTAGAAACTTCGGGCGAATAAACGCATTGTCCCAGCGATCGAGACTTCTTCTACTCACTTTGAAGAAATTTCAAGTAAACGTAACGCAAATTCCCGGTGTGTTTTCGCACAGAAAACTGTAGTTTATCCGTTTGTCAGTCCTTAGTAATCAGTAAACAAAATCTCAATTTGTTTCCTGAACGATGGGGTAAATCTTTTCCGTTGAACATCTTTCGAGCTGTTTTCAAAACCTACACTCCAGGCGATTCTTTTCCTGATACCTGTCGCTTGCTTTTATGTTTAAATCACAAACATTTTCAACTGAAAAATTCCTGCAAACACTAGATGTTGCTCTATAGATACAGTAAAAGCGCGTCTCGCTAGGCAAGTGAATTTCACAATTAGTCCGATTCGCTACTTCCTTTCAGAAAGAGGTACGAAATGTTGTCGTCAAGCGGCGCGAAGGCTGGCGCGAGTCGAGAAGAAAGCAGTTCAGTTGCTGCTTTGAAGGAAAAAAACACTTTTCTGACCGAAACAAAAATAATGTCAGATCCAGTGCATGCTGGGTGTATGGACATGCGATTAGGTGCATCAATTTTTAAAGAAAACACGATTACTCTAAAGTCTAAATTTTGAGCATTTCGGTGTTTCAAAATACGGTGATTTGACTGTGTATTTATGGATTACTAGACAATGTAAACAAAATATACAGTGTGTATTGTTGCCTATGAAATGTCTTACGGATAAGGGATTGCCCTTTCATCTAAATAACTGCTGATTTATTAAACTGGTTTAAATGAGAGTTAAATAAGTGAAAACGCTGAAAGTAAGAGGGTAAAACAATTAAGCAGGCTATCTTTAAAACTCAAAATATTCGATGGAGCATTTACTAGTCTCTCTCTGACAGCAAGATTGAGGTTTTCAGAATGTCGAAAAACTGTATTAAAAACGGCACACAATCCGCAAACTATGATTGGTTTTCAAAGGTTGTTTTCACATTTCCAACAGTCTATCTTCAATGAAATGACTTCGCATCGTATCAGTATCGTATTAGCTGCATAAGTGCTCCTTCTTCTATGAATATGCAGCTCAGGATAGTGGTCACTGTTTCATGAGTTTGGAAGCTTCCTGTAAACAGCATGCATTTGAATAAATTTACATACACAAGTACCTATGTCCCGTTTACTCCCGAAAAGTCAGACTCACAGCTTTCGCAGTTTCAATCTATCTACAGTTGAAGTTAGAATTTCACGAGGAGGTTTAAATATTGTGTTATGTAAATTATAGCCAATAACTGACAACCTTCATTTAGAGTCTAGATTCAAAAACGGTTTTTCCGAGAACTGGCTGTATTTTTTTCGTTTATCATCGTTTGTGACAAACAAGTTTTCGCTTGATATCGCCGATAGTAACGTCAGAATAAAACAAAACGTTTCATAAGGTCGCATGTGGGCAGTCCGGTGAATTATTAAAAAATCGCACCGAAATTGGCAGGTTCAATCGTAAACATAGACTTTGGGGTGTATATTAACTGTCCTTTCCTTCGGACAAGTTTTTTTCTCCTAGGCAATTCTTGTGTTGAATTACGATAAGTTTCAGAGTTTCCTTGAAATAGTTTCAGTCTTTTTAATCAATTGCTTAAAATGTGGATTTTGTTTTGTTTTTACCAAAACCGTCAAAATAAGATATCTCTTAAAAGTATTTACTAGTGTAGGTAGGTTTTGGACATCCTTTTTAACTCAGATGTCCCCTTGGGTCAGACTTTTAGAACCACTCGGCTATTAGACTGCATCGTCGAGAAAAGTGAACATGCAGAACAAAAAACTCAGAAAATAATAGGACTTGAGTCAATTAAAAACTTGCTCGAATAAGCTGGATCTTTAAAATAAAACGCTTTAATTGCGTATTTTGCTGACGGGTGCCTCAGTACCTGTCCTCTTTCCAAGGTTAAATTTAGGTAAACAAATTGGAAATTTGATTGTTGTTTTAAGACCCTGCAAATAAGCTCTAATTTTCCCCACCTCAAATGAACTAACTCATTTCTCTCCTTACATCTGAACCTTTTGTGCCATAATTGTTTGCTTTTAGGCTGCGTTCTAAGGTTGTTCTCTCGTTTCGTGTCTAAGTAACTCCTTAGCCTAAACAAGGTCATACCAAAAGTATTATACTACACGCTTGAAATTTAACATTGGTTGTTGTATGGAGCCGAGCTGCAGTAAGAGGCATTTAGTATTTGCTAAGTCCACAAACATTTCGGGACGCTGAAATAATGGATCACATGAAATCATACAGGTTTGCAAATAAGCATTTTTAAAATCGACGAAACTTCTTAGTTTAGCAAAATACGCCGCTTGCTTCCGTCTCGGTTTATCTGATTTACCTGTGTGGAAAAAAAATCGATTCGCTTCGATTATTCTCTTCTCTTCGCGCGCATATGCGCAAACCTAGTCTAGGATAGCTAATAGTCTAGCAAAACCGCCAGAATACAGCGTAACGTCGATTTTCGTTCACATTTGTAAACGTTGTGGCTGGCAAAAGTCATTCATAAGCATAGTTCGTACGCAACGAAGGACATTTGACAGAATAGTCCAAGATAAATAATTAAAATGTGTGCAGTCATTTGTTTGCTCACAATTAATCATTTTTATTTCCGCCATCGCGTTTAACGAGGAGGTCATATGCAGGTAAATTTCGCGCAGTTCGCTAGAAGATGGATGCGCATTTTTAAAATCGATAAAACTTCTTAGTTTAGCAAAATATGCCGCTTTATTCCCCCTCACTTTACCTGACTTACGTGTGTGGAAGAAATTATATTTGACTCGATCATTACCTTCTCATGCGCAAAACGAGTCGAGGATAAAAATTAGCTTAGATAGACTGCCGGAATAGAATGTGCCTTAGATTTTCGTTTACATTTGTAAACGTTTTGGCTGACAAAAGCGTCGTCCGTAAACATATCCCCTATGCCAATGGAACATTTATCCTAAGAAAAATAATTAAAATGTGTAGCAATTAATCATTTTTATTTCCGTCACCGCGCTTAATGAGGCAGGTCATATGCAGGTGAATTTCCCGCAGTTCGCTAGAAGATAGATGCGCATTTTTAAAATCGATAAAACTTCCTAGTTTAGCAAAACATGCCGCTTTATTCCCCTTCACTTTAGCTGGCTTACATGTGTGGAAAAAATTCTATTTGATTCGATTATTCCCTTCTCAGTGAATGTCACGTACTTATGGGCAACACGAGTCTAGGATAAACTGCCAGAATAAAAGGCGCCTTAGATTTTCGTTCATATTTGTAAACGCTTTGACTGCCAAAAAATCATCCGTAAGCCTATTCCCTTTGCCAATGGAACATTTATCCTGAGAAAAATAAATTAATATGTGCAGCAATCTGTCCGTTGGCCGCAATTAATCATTTTTATTTCCGTCATCAGGCTTAATGAGGCAGGTCATATGCAGGGGTGAATTTCGCGCATTTCGCTTACCGCCGCGGGAACACTGAAAATTTTATAAATTTTAAAATACTGAGATAG